AGATATGCAGGCTCTGCATGCAACTGTAAGAGAAGTGTTGTGTGGATTTTTCAGTTGTGTCACAACCATATGTAAAGGTGTAAAATGATGTTACTGTATTTATATATTACCAAAAAGGTAATATAAAAATGCTATCTGGATTCCCAGGATGATATAAATTCACAATCATAATGAAGTAAAATCTAAGTCATTTATACTGTAATTAGATGCTGGTACTAGGCTCACTTACAAGCCAAATGATTCATCTACTGTACCTTCAGCATTAGTCTGTACAAAAGAAAACTTTTTTTATTCAGAGACTAAACATTGCTTTCCCTACCACCTGAAATAATTCATTGGAATTCTGAACTGCCACCTGTCTTTCTGTCCACAGGTCTGTTTAAGGAAAAGATGTTACTGATGCCAAACATTTGATAATCCAAAAACATTTAAGAGACACTTGCTATAACTGAAGGTGGCAAATTCTGCTTCTGTTCACAGTATGAAGTCTGGAATTGCATATTTAATTGTTCCAGCCCCTTAAGGTTTGATATTTACAGATTCTGAATGGTATCTCAGAAAAAAATGTATTTTTCAATGCCAAATGAGTCAGATGCTGGCCACTGTGCCGTCATTGTCTTCATTATTTACTTTTAGGAAAAACTGGATGGCTTGTAACTCCTTCTGCATGCTGTACCAGTTAATGAATGACATTGATTTTTTTTTATCACATCACATAATATTTTTTTATTACACGAGATTTTTTATCTTCTGATTGCTTCTCAAGAGCCTATGATTTGTGATTTTCTTTATGGGAACAGATTCTTACCTAATTTCTCCACTTCATAATGTTCAAAATACTTAAAAATATTGTATTGATTCCTTGACATTTTGTAGGGTGTTTTCAGTTTACATTAACTGCTGAAAAGAAAGTGATGACCTTTTGCTAGAATGTTATTAAGGATGAAGTCATCTATTTCTGCTCCAGTTCCGTGAAATATTTAATTTGTACTTTGAGCCTGTGCTTAAAGACGTTGATAATTTTGGATCTGGATAGCAAATATAGGATCCCTTCTCTTAATGTGTCTTTGAGACACATTTTCAAAGGATAATAATTTTTCACAGATCCAAAAGAGCCTTTTAGTGGAGGTCTATAGCAATATTTTCATTCTGTGGTTGCTTTGCCTCAATTTCCAATATGCATATTTAATTTCTCTCCAATATTCTCCAATTTTTCTCCAATATTTATTCTCTCCAGCAGAAAAAAGTGACATTGTAAGGAAAAGCAACAAAAAGAAACTACTAAGAAAAAACCATTAAAGTTAAGATGTGATTTGTCCTCCTGACGTCAGTAGATCCCTCTCTAGGAGGAAAACAAATTGACACTAATGCATTTTTAGGGCTTCATTGACTATATTAGTAGAAGTTTTATACAGAGCAGAAGCTCAAAATAACAAGTTACTTCAGTTGGGGAGTAGCAGAGGTTAATGGGATGATTTTTGGTTTATTTTGTATTACTACCACTTAGTGGAATGTCTTGGTGAAGCCAGGGAAGACCTTTTCCTTTGTATTAATTGCAAACCAGTGCTCATTAGGAAGCTGTGTTGGGGTCATACATGAGGTGATACAAGAGTTCAGTGGCCTCTGCATTTGGAAGTGCTGGGCCCTCATACAGATATCAAATCTATTTCTTTTTTCCTGGGAAGCTGAATAAAAATTTTGCTCAGAGGTCCACAGTGAAAAAGAAAGAATGGAGATACTGGCTTTTAAGAATGGAATAGCAAATTGTCAGTTTTGATGAACAGAAGTTGACTCACATTTTCAATGCCATATTCAATTTGAATTAGTCCACTGTAAAATCAAAAACAATTGTTCAACAATTGAATGTGAGATGACTTTGAAAAGATTGTACTTTTTATGTAGATGCACAATCTGAAGGTCATAAGAAGATTATTTAAATTTTGTTTGTATTTTCTCAGCATAAAAAAACCCAAACAAACCAGGAAATACCATATATGTTGAAATTGGAAATCATACTGAATGTAATATTTAAAGATAACAACTAGCCTGTGGAACTCTCTAAATGTAAGAAAGTATGCACTATAGACACAGTGAGTTCTGGGATTCTTTTTTTTAGCATGAAGGTTTTTCTACTTGTAATAAAACTATCTCCCAGTCTTGTATTGTCCTGGATTTATCTGGGATAGAGTTAATTTCTCCTCAGTAGCTGGTACTCTGCTGTGTTTTGGATTCAGTATGAGAATAATGTTGATAATGTACTCATGTTTTGGTTGTTGCTAAGTAGTGTTTATCCTGAGCCGAGGACGTTTTTGTGTCTCATGCTCTGCCAATGAGGAGGGGCACAAGAAAGCTGGGAGGGAGCACAGCTGAGACCCAAACTGGCCAAAGGGACATTCCACACCATTAGAATGTCATGCCCATTAAACTGGGGGAGTTACCTGAACAAGGACAGGGACTGGCATTAGTGGTGAGGAATTGCATTGGGCATCACTTGTCTTACTATGTGGGTTTTTATTTTTTTCTTTTATCATCATTATTACTATTTACTATTATTATTATTATCATTATATTTTCCTTTTGCTTCAATTATTAAACTGTTCTTATCTCAACCTACAAGTTTTACTTCTGATTCTCCTCCCCATTCCACTGGGGTGGGAGCTGAGCAAGTGGCTGTGTGGTGTTTACTTGCCAGCTGGGCTTAAACCACAACAGCTAGGTGTAGAAATATGGGTAGGGAGAAAATCTACAGAAGACATGCAAAAGATTAGAATCATTTATATGGTAGCAAGTGAAAAGGTTATACTGAAATATATACAGAATTAGTGCTAGGTGAGCATCTGTTCATAATTTTTTTTCAGTAAGAGAGGCAGGAATAATTCAGTAAAAACACATATTGAATATTTTGTGCAGCTTTACATAAAGGCATCACTGAAGACAATAGCTTTGCAGAGAAATACAGAAAAAAATAGTCTGTGTGTGTTTGTGTAACAAGGAATTTATTGAATAAGTATTTTTAATTCAAACATAAACATCATGCTTCATGCAAAAATTATTGTCTTGTTGGTAAGGCTAAGGAAGAAACTTCCTTGAAAGAAACATTATGATTTTTGGTTCTGAAGGTTGCTTGACTTAGTTTAATTTTCTTAGTATATCTTAATGTCTGTTCTTGTAGTGAAAATTCATGACTAACATAGACCAGCAGTTTGGTTGAGTTTGGTCATATCCATTTTTCTATTAGAGTTGATCTGATTTTCTGCTGGTACTGTGTGTAACTCAATTCAAAGCTCAAATGTTTTTAAAAGTAGTGGGATGTCCTCGAGCCAGATTTAATTCATGTTGCTTGGAGTCAGTATGTTGCATCCAGACTGAACTGCCAGTTCTCCAGGGTGGACAACCAGACCAATCTAAGACAATCGGCAAAACCTCAGGCCAATTACTGAGACAGAGTTCCCAGTAGTGATAATGAGGTGAGGCTTGCATATGTGGAGTGATCAGTTCTGCAAACCTCCTTTGCAGTCAGCGGCGCCAGGGCAGCTGCTCCACTGTATTTGTATAATACACTTGAAAGGCAGTTCACCTGTGCTGTCTTTTGGGTGGATTTGTGGGATGTATTTGGCCATTTGTATGAATAGCCCAGGGTTTTCTGGTGCTGTCCTGTTCCCCTCTGCAATCTTACAGCCTTGGGTGTCCCTGCTAAACTGCTCACTTACACACAGACTTCTAGAGTTGCTCACATTTCACTATAGAGAGCAATGAGATTTAAAAAAGTATGAATATCTGTTTGTACATACATATTAATATGATGATTTTAGTTATTTACTATTGATATCCAGTTATGAAGTTATTAGACTAGAATTTAATTCTTTTTTTGGGTTATAGTGAGTATTTTTGGTAAGATATTACAATACCATGTTATGCAGGCGTAATGGTAATGAGTCAGGATTTGGCACACAGTCTTCTGAGTCAGGATATTAGGGGGCATTGTGTACCAGAGGTACTTTCTTTTGGCTTAGCTGCAGAGCTGACCATCTGTGGTCATAAAAGATCCTGGGAATATTTTTGTAATAACCTAGTTTAGTGACCAAATTTCTTTGTGAGTAATGGCATTTGAATGAACATTCCCAAATTATATCTATGACTTCTTTTATAAAATATGCTTTGTCATGTTCTTATGTTGTCATATTTATATATGTAATTTAATTCATTTTAATTTGCTATTAATCATATGTCATTGCAGACTGTAAAGGTGGGGAACACTGAAATCTATTGATTGTCTTAACTATGCCTGTGTACGTAGCCAATTCAGACAATGCCTTGAGATTATAAAAGGTTATTGTCTGCAAACAACATGACTTCTGTCCTCTGTTATACCTCAGGTGTAAAAGTCACTAACCACTCTGTTCTGCTCAAATTGAAAGCCTAGAAGTAGTCTAAGCAATGAGAAGTTCAGTGATCCACTGGGATATTACCAGTGTTATAAAGCATGCTGAATACACATTAAAATAAAGGGCCTGTTATGCTCTCAGGAAAGAAATAACTGTCCTTCATTTCTGTTCAAATTCAAGAGAAATTTTAAGGTGTTTCACTAGTTGACTGGCAGGTAATTCTGTATGATTTCAATGTAGTGAAGAAACTATGGTGTTAAATCCCAGATTAATTTCCTTTGAAAACTCTGGATATTTGTAATTCACAGACAGCTGATATATATATCCTTTTATTCTTGTATATCTTAAAACAATACAAACACCTGGTTGATTTTGTAACAGTGAAGAAAAGGAAACAGGCCCACTAATAACTGGCTGGGACAGCAAGCTGAAACAATGAGGCCTTAAAAAAAATTAAGGTTATTCCCAACCACCACAGAAACATATGAATGGGTATCTAATGAAAAAGCTGCTATCACTGTTTTGGAAAAATCCTGGGCAAATAGAGGCAAAAAGGGAAGATGTGACACAGTAACAATGCTATGTTGTTGATATCAGTGTCTCATTGTCCTATAGGTCTGAAGTTTGAGGAAATGCAAGAAAAGTTTGGGGAGGAATTCTTCAATATCTGCTTTGAAGAGAATGAAAGAGTTCTTCGAGCTGTAGGTGGGACCCTTCAAGACTTCTTCAATGGCTTTGATGCTTTGCTGGAGCATATTAGAACTTCATTTGGAAGACAGGCCACCCTGGAATCTCCTTCTTTCCTATGCAAAGAACTCCCTGAAGGCAATCTCATGCTTCATTATTTTCATCCCCATCAGATTGTGGGATTTGCAATGACAGGAATGATAAAAGCAGCAGCAAAGAAGATTTACCGCTTGGAAGTAGAAGTAGAACAGGTCACAAATGATAAGTTGTGTTCGGAGGGGACAAACCCAGGGAACTGCAGTTGTTTGACTTTCCTTATCAAAGAACATGAAAATGCAAATACCACAAAAGCACTTCCACCAGGAACTTCCCAGTCCCCCTTAGACCTGAGGATTAGTATCAGCACCTTCTGCAGAGCTTTCCCCTTTCACCTGATGTTTGATCCAAACATGCTCCTTCTCCAGCTTGGAGAAGGTCTTAGGAAGCAGCTCAGATGTGACACTCATAAAACGCTGAAATTCCAAGAGTGCTTTGACATAGTCTCTCCTAAAATCAGTGCCACATTTGAACGAGTTCTCCTGAGGTTATCTACACCCTTTGTCATTCGGACCAAACTTGAGGATTCTGATTCTGAAAGTAAAGATAAGGTAAGAATATTAATTTGGAAGTGGATGTGCTTATATGTGTGTGGTGGGAGAGGATTTTTTGCTCAGAAAAAGCAGCTCAGGTCCTGTGTACTCTGGAAAGCCCACTCATGCCTTGCAAACAGGGGCTAAGTGATATTCCCCAGCCAAGTGAGTATTTTCCTAGATTATTTGTAAGCTTTGCCTCTGAAGTTGTAGCAAATCATGACATTTCCATTCAGAAAATTCTGCACAGTGGGGCTGAATAGTACAGCTTGAATAAAAAGGTGAGGAATTTTACAAAATACCTGTATCTTATCCTTAATATCACTCCAGCTATATTATGATAAGAATAGTTTTTAAGCCATTTGCTAAGGCCTAGCTTGAAGTATTTATTCTGAAAGTTTCTCACCGTAGGTTTCTCATTGCTACCTTACTATATCTTATTTCCCTATTTTGGAATGCTGCTTTCCTTTAGGTTTCTTTTTACCTCTCGCCCTGCACTCAGGAAAACCAGAGCTGTAAGTGGTACTGAGTATCACTTAAGCCAGTTTTATTGTGTTCCAGTCATTCAAATAGGCTCTTGTCCTCCTACACTGCATCTTTCCTCCATGCTTTAGGAGAGAGCTACCTTAACCAGTGAGCTCTGTGTTGAGTTCAGTGCATTCAGCTGAGTAAACTGAGAACATGTCTTTGGTGTGGAGTTCTCCAGTGGTTGGATGGAATTTATCTCAATGCCTATCCTTGAATTACAGGAAAGTTTTTTGGTGTGAAGTAGGGTTCTGGATTTTATGCACCAAAGTACTTGTACTTAATGCTAACATTAAAACTTGCTTAAAGGCTTGAAAGTCTGTGTGTGGGTGCCTTGGAAATACTGCTGTCCTAAGTGGAACTGGATGATCTTTAAGGTCCCTTCCAACCCAAACCATTCTATGGTTCTATGATTCTATGATAATTCAAAATATAGTTAGTTCTTACAGCAGCAGTATTTCCAGCTCCTCTTTGGCACTGTACTTTGGCACCAAACAGCATATGTCTGGTGTATTTTCCTCTGGAAATAACATGTTCCCCCAAGAGAAACAAACTGGTGCTTTTCATTTTGTATTAGTTGATGTAATTCAACCTTCTTAAAACCAAAAGGGAGTTTATTTTTCAGAATCTGTCCTCAGTCTCATCCTAACTTTTAATTGCAAGAAGGAAACGATCTGTGAAAGGAGTGGAGGTGTTGACTCTGAGCTACCTTATGACACACTTGTTTCTCCTTTGAAAGAGTCTGGTTTCATGATACTTCAAGGCAGAACACATCTATCCCTGTCAGAAACCTTCACCTCTCCCAGGACAGTCACAGCCCTTTGACTGGCTTCTGCTCTTCATGAATCTGCTCTAAATCACTCTGAAGAGAAAGAAGGTTTAGGTGGGAGAAGGAAGCTTTCAAAGCCTTTTTCCCTATTTAAGTTAAACACACGAAATATTCTCTTACCTGGACAGGTTTCATATGCTTTTGGCTTGCTCTTAGGAGAAGTGGCAGGAGTGGGGCTTGTTGGAAGCAGGATTTTAGATTAGGCAGTCCTAACACTAGAGAAGCAGGTGGAAGAGGATGGCAGCAAAGGATATCCTTTGCCTGCCAGTGGTTGGGAGAAAAATTGTACCTTGAAGAGTGAGGTGTGAGTGAGAGGCAAAAGGGTGATGGTGAAGTGCAGAGGAACTGTTGTGCTGCAGGCATAGAAATTAATTTGAGAACATCAGTTTATCTGAAGAGGTATTTTCTTCTGTCTCACCCATTTGATAAGCACTTCCAAAAAATTTTTGCTTGTGAATAGTTAAAAAAAGCTCAGCATATGATGCATTTTGCTAGATATTCGCTTTAAAAAAAAAAAAAAAGAAGTTACACAGATTCATAGGCTGTGGTTGACTTGCTTACATAGATTTTGAGAGGAGGGACATAGCAATACAGTTTATGTCATGTCATTATCCATAAAAGTCCTTTATGGATAAAAAAAGTAGACTGGGCCTTGGGAACTGCATGCTGTATTATTTTCCCATAGCTCATGTCACTCATTTTGGAATTCTTTTCAATTTGCCAGGACTTGTTTGGAAGTTGAATATTAGACAGGTAGATCACTGGCTGTAAGCATGACCCTGCTTAAAAATTGCCAGTAACTGACTTAGACATTCCCCTATTTCTCTGCCACACACCTCTATTCAGTTCATAGTGGAATCTCATCCCACTTAGAGCTGTTTATCTTTAAAAAAAAAAAATCTGACTGCCCTAACTGACACTTTTCAGGCTAGGTTACCTTCAATGGCAGCTGTAGGCATGTGATCCAGACAACTCTGCTGCAGTGTTGAACCTGTTCAGATGTCTTACTGCATTAAAAAAACCCCAAAAATTCAAATGAACAGAGGCCGTCCCACCCTCTCTTCAACAGATGTTTATTTTCATTTCAATGCATAAATCATATATTTTTTTCAGATTGGCAGTGAGAAAGACAGAATAAGAAAACAGTTTTCATTTAGTCCTGATACCAGCTTTGTTCAGATGAAAGCAAGTCACAAATCATGATCTTTCCCTAACTAAACACCTACAAGCAAAAAAAAAAAAACCAGCCCCACCTGTCCTGGCTTTCATGATGTTGAGTGCTTGTCCAGTTTAATTAAACACTCATTTGTGTGTTTCAATTTACTGGTATTTGAATAATTGGAATAAATAATACTACCCTAAATTTCTGGCATAAGGCCTGTAAGGTCTGGGTGATAGGTAGCACTTCCTGCAGAGCTGTATTGCACCTTTGCAGAAGCACAGCCTCATGCATTAATATCTCAGCAAAATTTTGTTAATTTGGTATGTCACCAGCTATTCCTTGGAGCTCACAGCATTTACAGGATCCCATTGTTCTAGGGACCAAACAGAAAAAAAAAAAGGACTCTCCACCTGAAGAACATGGACACCTAGCTTTAAACATGATTTCCAACACCATGTTTCCTGTTTTCCCATGCAGCTAAATGCTTGTTATTGGCTTTCTTCTTACGGTATGGTACTACTCAGATGTTGAAGGGCCCTGTTTCTCTACTTCTTATACAAACATTCTGTTGTTTTTCACATTTCACTCTAATTTTTGGTTTTGTGTGTGTGTGTGTGTGCGTGTGTGTGTTTAACCAGAGACCTTAACTAGCATCCAGTTAGATTTTCTAAATTTTGGATATTGTCCCAAAATATCAAGGACAATATTTGCTGTTTAACCTCTCTAAGGAAACTCATTCTACACCACTCTCTATGGGAGTAATTATTTATTGCAACACTAAAGCATAAATTTATTGAGACAATTTACCATTTGGGATTGATCTCTTACAGCTTCACACACGGTTAATAGAACTGTACTGCACATGAGTTCAGTGAATGTTAGTGGAGTCACGTGTGGGATGAGTTGTTAAATTAAGGGGGCTGAGTCTGAACTCGTGTGATGGAGTGTTCTGAAATCCATGTCAAGCCCATCCACTGAGGTGAGGGTGCTGGCATGGGAGGGAGAGATAACCCAGCAGTGAGTTGTGCGTGCAGGGCAGGTTGGTGTCCCCCACCATCTCCTGACCAGACAGGGGCTGGAAGCTCCTGACAGGTACATCCTGAGCGTAGTCATTTTCAGACTGTAGTGATGAACAAGGCCATCTGTAGCATGATATAAATATTCCTCTCCTTGACAGTACACTGAGGTGCCTGGAACTGCTTCAATTTTTAGCTGAATGGGAACACAAGGAATGACTCTCCTGCTTTCACTCTTCTGGCATGTTCTCCTCACATGCCCCTGGTGAGTCCTCAGTGCTGGGCAGATTGAGAGGAGATGGGGCTGCCCTTGCAGGCACCCACTGTGCCCGAGACCTCAATCCAGACTCTGCACTCCTGGTCCATGGATTGACAGGATGAGCCCTGCCAGCATTTTTGGTGCCCACCAGTTTTTGAGCCCCCATTTCTGAAACTGAGTTTCAGGTTCCCTGCCATAAGCTGTGCATCTGTATTTTCCTTGTTTTGCTGCTCTTCAGCTCAGACTAACAGCCCTTTTCCACATTTGAAATAAATCAGTTTTTTAAGGATAGTCACTGGCCTTTGACTTAGGCCTCTGGGCGATTTAGAGATTACCTAAGAATAAAGCTGGCACCTTAAACTGCATTACTGGAGGTGTCCAGCCTTTTTTTCTGATGAAATGTATTTTCTTTAAATATTTTATTAAAATCATAACTTCCCAGTTAACAGTTCAGCAAAATGTCTTCTGGCAAAAAAATACTTTTATTTATAGATGTAAGTTAAATTTTTTCAGTAATTTTAGACATAAAATATTTTTATTAAGGAAAAATGTTTACCTTACAAATTCTAGTACAATGTTTAAAATACGAAACACTGGATTTGATAAAAATGACCCTCTGAAATCTTTATATTGGCAGAAATTCTAAATGCTGCATATAATTCACATTTTTGGATGGCTTGAAACTCTTGTCAGGGGAGGTCTAGGTTGGATGTTGGGAAAAGGTTCTTCACCCAGAAGGTGGCTGGGCACTGGAACAGCCTTCCCAGGAGTGGTCACAGCACCAGCCCGAAAGAGTTCGAGAAGCACTCGTACAAATACTCTCAGGCACGTGGTGTGACTCTTGGGACAGTCCTGTGCAGGGCCAGGAGTTGGACTTTGATGATCCTTGTGGGTCTCTTCCAACTCAGCATTTTCAGTGATTCAATGACAAAAAGTCCATCCAGACCAGCATGCTGACTCTCACAGTGACCAAGAGACAGCCCTTTGTGAAACAGGTAAGACAAAGTTCAAGCCTGCAGTGTTCCTCTCTGTGAAACACTCTCCTCCCTTTTAGCTCTCACGGGAGGAAAGCACATCCTCTTGCTGTGGTATCCAGGATGTGGCACGGGATAGCCCCCTCAGGACCAAGCCTCCATGATTTTCTCTAGCACCTTTTGAACCAGGAGAAGTTCATACTGTCAGCTCCTGTGGCATCCTGTGGACATAAGGTCTGCTGTTTATTAGCAG